AATCCTCTTTTTCCCCCCATCCCAGGTATGGTTTGAGAGATGGAGCAATAGTTCTGTCCACCTTTGTATAGCTTTGGAGGAAAGACAGAGCTGTTTTGTATGTAGATTTGTCACCCTATTTGACAAGGGTTTGCTTTCTCCTTTGAGATTTGATTAAATGCTTTTCTTTTTTTTTTTTTTTTGCCAGCATTCACTCCATCCAGCCAAGATAGGTCTTATTCCTATGAAAAGATACTGTCAGCTTTGGATTTTTCTCCTACTTCATCTTGGAGTTTCAGGAAATAGGGTGCCTAAGCTGTTTTTTGTGATTCTACTGAAACCCTCAGATCCTCCTAATGATGAGTCGAAGCTGCCATTCTGAAGGGTTTAGTATGACTTTCCTGAGGCTGCCTATCCTCATTGTTCATCCACTTCTCTGTGGTGGGGAGTTCCTAAAATACACAGGGCTTTATCAACTCATCCCTCTTCCCCAGCAAGATATGGTGATCTGTGAGGTGTGGTCAGGAATGCTGCAAAGCAATCTGCCCGAACCTACCTTTCCATTCCTAGACACCAGTTTTGGGATTTTCTGGCAGGAGGCTGTAGCCTATTCCTTGTTTGATTGTAACCTGCTAAATATTTTCCTAAATTTTACTTTTTCCCCTTAACTACTCTAGATATTAAAGAAAAGAGATTCTAAGATGTGTCCTATTTTCTCATTTTTATATAGAAGATTCATTTTCCTTTGAAGGTTTTAAAAATAAAACAGACTGATTTGAAGGGGCTTGTTTATACTTATTTAAAATGGTTAAATAATCAAAACTGGATGCTCACTTGCAAGTACAAAGAAATGGATGATATTTTCCATTCTATCTATCAAGAATGTGTAAACAGAATGTGAGGGTATAGTTGCAGTGTATATTTATGACAGTAAAATGTTTATACCAAATCATTGAGAGGTGACACAGTTTAAAGACCATATGTCATTTCTAAATAATAACGTTAAGAGGCCACATGTCATTGGCTAAATTCACTAATGGTTTTTCTATTTTGTAGATACTATTTGACATACCAGAATTTTGATTCATGAATTTTATCAACTATTTTTCTATTCTCTACCTCATTAATTTTAGTGTACATATATCCTTTTCTTCCTTGTATTTTCATTTTTTTTACTTTGCTGCTCTTTTTTGTAGCTTTTAGAGTTGGAAGTTTAAATCAATTATATATTTTTAAATTTTGTTGATTGAATGTTAATGCATATGCATTTTCTTCTGATCATTGCTTTCAATGATATAGATGTTTAAGGCTGTTGATTGTCATCTGAACATTTCTTCAACTCTAATAAATTCTGATACATAGTGTTTACATTATCATTATTTTTCAGAACTTATGTATTTTTTATTGTATTTTGGCATTCACCCAAGAATTGTTTAATTGAAGGCTTTTTTTATGATCAGTGTTTTTAATAGCTTCATTTTCTAGAATTTACTGATGTCTTCTTTGTAACTCAATACATGATCGATTTTTGTGAATGTGCCATATATAACTGATATTTTCTCTTTTAACATGGTGTAGTGTTTAATATATACCAAGAGATCTACTTTATTCATTATGGTCTTTCAATATTACATATCTTTACTTATTTTAGTCTACTTGGCCTGTCTTGTACTATAAATATTGTGCGTAAGTCTATTATTATTCTCTTTATTCTGCCTTACATCTTCTACATCTTTTCATCTTATTTTGTGCTTTCACCCTTATTTCAGTAGTACATAGATACTTGTAATTGTTGTAACATCATTATAATTTATGTGTTTTAAGCTTTATAAATGTCCCTTTTTGTCTTCACTGCATTTTGACCTGAATTCTACTGTCTGATAATAACTCAGTCCCTACTCTTATTATTTCCATATGCCTAACATGCTTATAATTTATATATTGACTATTTGAAACAAAACTACATTGTAGCATAAACTTAAGCTTTGCTCTATGAGCCAATCTCAAAATCTTTTTTAAAATAGGCTAGCTAAATCTATTCATGTTTGTTGATATGAGATATGTTTGATCACATCTCTGCATTTGTTTTATAATTATTGTACATATTGTTATATTTATTGTATTTCTCCACTCAGTGTCTTCTACTTTTTAAATTCATCATTAAGAAAGATTTGTATCTTTATTTTACTGATTTTCTTTTTATTTACACCTTTTATAATGTTTGCTTTTCTTAACCACTTACTATCTGATTTGTCAATCTTAAATTGTATCCTTTGTTACCTGCCCATTATCTATACAAAAATCAATAATCTCATTCTCCTTTCCTCTTTCTCTCCCTTCTCCACCCATTCATTTTTAGTTTCACCCCTTATACTCAGTCAGAACACATAATACATGCTGATCTTCTACCATCTATATCCTCATTCTTATTGAGTCTCAGCTTTACAATTAAATATATTAAATACTATCAGCCCATTTGCTGAATTTTCTCTAGTATCTCTCTTATTTGATGAAAAGCAGCCTTTCATAAATTTCTCAGAAATTCAACCTTTGAATAGTGTTTCTGGGTTCCTTTATGCTCTAAACTATAGGCTTGATCCTTGAAAACAGTTTAGCTAGATATAAAATCTTTGGCTTTCCCTTTATTTTCTCAAGTTTCTTGAGAGTAAAGCTAACATCCAACTACTGTGTAGTATCTATAATCATTGCCTTGATTATTATGATTTAACTACAGCTGGAAAATGTGTATTTCAATTTATAAAACATAGAAGACAACTCTATTTTTGTTCCCTACTATTAGTTTTTTGACAGAAAGAGAATAGGGTAAGATATGGTACTGATAGATATTTTGCCACATGTCAGGGTACATATTGGCATAAAAGTCTAAATTAATTTAATCAAACAGTTAATCCAGGAAAGAAATACATCAAAACAACATATACCAAAAGTGAAAAAATTAAATCAAAATGACTAAATAACTGAAATGCAATCTTTTTACAATTTTGCACATAATGCTTTGCTATTTCAGTTTCCTCTCAAACATCACTCAGCTGTATTATCCAAAGGTCATTCTAAAAGCATGGTTCAGAAATCCCTTGGGTCCCGAAGACTAATTAAGGGCATCTGTGAGGTCAAATTATTTTTTAAGTGTACAAAGAAATTATTTACCTTTCTGCTGTGTTGACATTTACATTTATAATGCAAAAGCAATGATACAAAAAACTGCTGTTGACTTAGCACAAATCAAGGTAATGGCACCAAACTGTACGAACTGTCACTGTATTTGCTTTTTTACGATCATGCATTTATAGGGAAGGACTTGCCAGTTTCACTTAAGAATATCCTTGACGAATAATTTAAAATTGTTGTGATTAACCTCAACCCTTAAATACACGTGTTTGTAGTATTCTGTGTGATGAAATAGGAAATACACAAAAGCATTGCTGCACACAAAATATGGTGGTTGAGTTGAAGAAATATTTGCATGCAATTTTTTAGAGTTTCAAGCTGAACTAGCCTTTCTTTTATAAAAAGCCCCATTTTTGCTTGAAAGAACAATTGACAAATTCTGCTTCTTCTCAAAAATTAACAAAGTGAGTTTGTCCCTATAAGAAAAGTAATTGACGATAGTTGACAATGATAAAATTCCTCTTTTAAGTGAAAATATAATTTTGGAAACCTTGTAACTGCCTCCCTGAGCTTGACAGTTTCTCAATATTGAAAGACCTTCTTAATGATATCGATGGTAATATTAATAAGTGTGTTTTTAATATTGTATTTCTAGTATTAATAGTTGTAATACACACAAACAAAGGTTCTTTGAGGGCTCTCACTTTTTTAAGAGTGTAAAGAAGTTCTGAGACCAAAATATTACAGAACAAATGATCTACATCCATATTTAAAGACCTTCAATAGATTACTATTTTTCTAAAGGTAAAAACCAAATTCTTAAAATGGTGCCAATTAGCAATATGTTCTAATCATATGGACATTTATTTTTTCTTTAATGCCATGATGTTCTTTTATGAAAGTACTTCCCCATCAATTTCACCTAGTTACTTCTTTCTCATCCTTCTGGTTTCTGCTTAAGCAGCACTTCCCCAGGCTCTCTTGTAACCATGCTTTTGTACTTCATAACCTTTTCTCACTTTATAATTATACATTTATTGGTGAAAACATTACATTCATGGATTTTTTCTCAATGGACAAAAAAATATAAAACCAATAAGCATGTGTTTTGGCTCACCATTGTATGCATTCTTCCTAACAGAGTGCTTATCATTGAGTTTAGTGTGGGAATAAATATTTGTTGATGAATGAATAAGTGGATGAGCATATGGGTTGATAGAGGAAAGGGGGAAACAATAAAGAATATTACATAGCATGAATAACATCTTTAGTAATGTAAAAAGATCCAAGATAAACACTAGAAAGAAATACACTGATTCATTTACATCTCTCATTGTATCTTCCCTTGTACCATTTTATTACTACATATTCTTGTTGGCTATTTCCTTTACAAAGAAAATAGAAAGGAAGCAGAAATAATATAAAATGACATTAGCAGTGTCAGTAAGTGTTCTTGAGCAAGTCTGGTCATGAGCAATTGTTGGCAAACAATTTCTTGTATTTCACATGACTTATTATTTCCTATAAATTATATTGGAATTCCATTGTTTTTATGTATTTTCTGTCTTCCTGTAGTCTCCTCTATTACCTCTTTTGTCCTAAAAATCTACAGTTGAGTAACACTTGTCTACTTGCATTCCTCCATACCTCCATTCTTACTAGCTTATCATACTCACCATACTTTGTCATAGTGTGTAATTTATCAGTCTTCCCATAAGACCTTTCACTCCTTAAGAGCTTGGACTGTATTTCATGTACCTGTGTATCTGCAGGATACAATAATGTGTTTAGCACTTGATAAACACTCTAATAAATGTATGAATGAATTATTGAAGTAAACATTTCATAAATGGCATTACGTATTCCATAAAATTTTTATTAAATTCTTCCAGTTAAAACTCAGGTAATGGGAGAAATCAAGATTGCATTGAAGAAGGAAATGAAGACAGATGGTGAACAACTAATAGTCGAAATTCTCCAATGCAGAAATATCACCTACAAATTTAAATCTCCTGATCATTTACCAGGTATGTAATTTTTTGATAATAACAGTATAGGAATTTTTCAGGTATATGTCCTGAATAGTTTAGAAAATTAAACTAAAATTTGGTAACATATCAATCATATCTGAGAAATGTGAAATAGAATTAATTTCTCTTATATAGCACAAGTTGATATTTTACTAGTTCCTAACTAGATTTTCAACATGTAAACTTAGAATGATGTATTTACTATTCAACATGGAAAAGAAATTTAACTTGCCAAGAAAATTGATGTGTCTTTTAAGCACTTTATGTTGTCTGAAACAAACACAGTCTGCAGGCTTTTGTATAAAATGTAGGTGAGCTTTCAGGATACAATTATAATTCAGCAGAAAATTATATGATTAATGGGCACTTGACAAGATGAATTCTTATTTTCAGATTTATATGTAAAAATATATGTGATAAACATCTCTACCCAAAAAAAGGTGATCAAGAAAAAAACAAGAGTGTGTAGACATGATCGAGAGCCTTCATTCAATGAAACTTTTAGATTCAGCCTAAGTCCTGCTGGACATTCTCTTCAGGTAACTCTGTATTACAGTTATTTTTAAAAATTTTTCATTCATATATATTTATTTTCCATCCAGCTATTTAATATTTATATATTGATCATATACACTGTGATATTTTACAAGTTAATTAATTCTGAGAACTATCTTCCCAGCAATCCTTTAGAATTCCACAGCCCATTCAATTAGCTAACTGCTACATCTATTCTCTCTGCACAGTTTATTTTATACAGATTTCTCTCCACGCTCACTGCCACTAATCCTCCCTGGGTCTCATCTTTGTTACTCAAGTTATTTCGGCAGTACACCTGTCCTACTGGCCATCAGTATCTTACCCTTCCAATTGATTTCATCACGCTGCTGGCAGACATATTTTTTAAAAACAGTGGTTAGGTTACATTAAAGCTATTCAGCAACTCACCATTTCCCTGACTCGTTCGGAGTCCATAAGGTGAATTCTGATTGCACTGATTTCATCTCATCTCCTTGCATACTTACCCACACACTTTGTACTTCAGTCACACCAGAATCTTTTCAAATCAGGTTAAGACTCCAAATCTTTATTCATATTTTCTGTCCCCTTCAATCTGTCTGTCTCCTCGCCATCTGTCTCTATCCATCATAATAATACTTCCCATCTTTCGGTGTAAACTCAGCCCTTCACTGATTATCCTAGGTGTAATCCATCATACCTTTTTCACATAACAGTTTGCTTATCTTCTGAGGCTGTCAATCCTATCTGTCCTGTACAATGATTAATAAATTTACCCATCACTGCTTCTTTATTACCAGCTTCTCTAGGGAAGGCCTAGTTTTCAATGCTCTTTGCTCTACAGCCTAACACAGTGTTTGTACCGAGTATTTCCTCAGTAGGTGTAAAGACAAAGAATGAAAGAGGAAAAAGGAAGGGAGAGGGAATAGATGAAAAAATATGGAAAGAGAAGACCGCACTACTGGCATTTAAAGGTCTGCACTAGAGACAAAATATAAAAGGTATTACAAAGCAAACAGTGCATGGAGAGGATTGACTGACATCAGAATGGAAGGGAATAAAAATACTAAAGGAGAGTCTGAAGTCTGTGTGGACAAATGTGTCATTCACAGCATTAAAGTAGTTAGAGAGGGAGCCGAGAGGGAGAAAGACCATGTGTGCATTTGTCTGAAACATGATAAATGTGATAAGAAGGCAGGATATAAGTGAAAATAGACAATACTATGAAATCCCAAAACCAGAGGCCAGAAGAGAAAGTCATAACTGCAAATGTAGATTTTTAAGCCAGAAACTTAAATGTAAACTTTTAGCCAGTAATAAAGATGACTTCTCTGAAGGAGATTCTGAAAAGAAAGCTAATTGTCAAGGATTAATGTTCAGCTCCACCAAACGCTCTTTACCTTTCTTTCATATGACAAGAAACTACTTCGAAAGTGCATACTGTAGTAAAATAATCAGTAAATTAAGTGCTAAACAAAATCAATGTTGTGTTCTATCTGCCTTGTAAACTCATTTTTACTCAGCACTAAGACACTTTTGTATTTGAGTTAACATTTCACAAACTAGTAAAAAATGTACTTAGCAAAGTTCTTTTGTGATACTTTCCATCAGTTTAAACACAGGTCTAGTTAGAATTAGCTGATGAATACATGTCTTACCTAGAATTCTCATATCCTCTAGGACATGTCTTTTCCTTAGGGAAATGTTGATGTGATTAATTCATGTTATACACATATTTGAAGACATAGTGGGAATCAGTTCTCTTACACCTGCTATGTCTTCTCACCCTTTCTTATCTGTGTTATTTCTTTGATTATCAGATTAAAAGAGATTGAAAAATATACACCTATATATATAATTTTGGCTATTTTTTCTAGATTTTACTTTTCTCCAATGGAGGGAAATTTATGAAAAAGACCTTGATTGGCGAAGCCTGTATCTGGCTTGACAAAGTGGATCTCAGAAAAAGAATAGTCAACTGGCACAAACTTTTGGTCAGTCCTACTCAAACTCATTGAAGAAATATGTCTGCTCAGGGTATAGAAACTTACTCTAAATAATTTCAAATCAAGACTACGGCTGGAGACTATTGTACTATGTTTTCAGAGTAAACATGACAGGAGAAACAACAGGCAGAATAGTTAAAGCCTTATAAACGTATTGTTGTGGAACATAGAAAAAAAACTCAAATAAAAAGTTCATATATTGGGGACAAAAAAAAACAAGCTCTGAGACCCTGGATTTCTTGGGGCTGTCAAGAAAAATAGAGAGAAAAATGTTGATTACTTAATGCAAAAATCTTGGAGCAGAGTTGATCTGTCACTAAAGGCAGAGGCTCAAAGATTAATATGGTTTCTAACGCAAAAGTAATCCTTTATACAAAGGAACCTTGGTTGAAAGTCAAGAACTGATGTAACAAATCTATTTTCAGAAGTCTAAAAATCTATTTTACTCACCTCCTCAGACAACTTAATGTTTTGAGATTCTGAAAAAAAATACATCTACAATATGGGTCCAAGGCTAGAAGTAAGGTGGTTGTGTTCAAAAGAAAAGAACTGGACTTGTAAAAATTATGGCTTTTAGACCATATGGTACAGTTTTTCTCTGTGTCTAAATGTTACAAGGGTGAACAAGACCAGTTTTGGTATCCATGTTGTAAAAGCACATTTGTATAATTTGAAATTATGTAGAGTGAAGATAATACTAAGTGGAAATGGAGTTACATTTATCTAGAAATAAAGCCGTGACTGGCTAACAAAGAATGTTGTCCCATAACACATAGCAACCTAGGTTGAAAATATCAAAATCTCCATAATTTACTCTTAAGCCAAGACATATTCAATCTACATACCAAAGGACATAGATTAAATTGGTATGTTCTAGGAAGCATGATAACTTGTTCTTTGTGGAACTGCAAATAAATGTGTTATCCCACACATTTCCTTTCTCCAGAGTGATATACTGAAAGAGAGAAAATTCTTCCTCTGGCAAACAAATAATATTGATCTGTGACATTAATTAAATTGATGTTATTTCCTGCTCTTCCATAATTTTAGTTTCCCTTAACACATTAACTGATTGTATAATGAAAACCCTGACACCAAAGTCCACTTCCCTACTTCCCTCTAGTGCTCCATTTTCCTCTTTTAGTGATGACATCACAGTGGAATCAACTTCATCAATGTTGGGAAAATATGTGAAACGTCAACATTATATTGAAGTTATTACAATATAATTTGAGCTATTTTAGTAATATAGAATAAAAGGGCCAATGTCTAAGTCATTAAACGGAAGCATCCTCTCCTCCATCGACCAACAGTATTAACAAAGGAAGTAACATGGGGTTGTAGGAAACACACTCAGCTGGGATAAAACGCCTGGCTTCTGATCTGGGTCCTGCCAATGACTGTGTCCCCTTACACATGGCACTTAAACTCACATTTCCCCAGTTTTCTTATTTGTACGATAAAAATATTTATCTATTCCTAGCCTTCCTAATGGGATGTTGGGACGATGAAACTAAGTGATTATTGAGAAAAGATGAAAGCACATTTCCAAATATACTTTTATATACATAAGTGAGGAATAATTATTATGCAGCATTTTACTTCGCAAATGTTATATGTGAGAAAGCACTCTGCAAACCAATGGCAAGCATTGACAAGGATAAAAGCAGTATATTAGCTCCAAAACTAATTTTTTTCTTTAAAATATGAACCGTCATTTAATTTGAAAAAAGGTGAAAAATTGAAAGAAAATTATTTGTAAGCTGAGTTATTATAAATTAAATGAATTATACTGTTTTTATCCTATTCCCATATCCTACCCCAAAATAAATTAAATTGTTTCTCAGATCATTTTGAGTTTAGAAACTGCTTTTTTATTCAAGGGTGAGGTTTTAGTGGATTTAGATAAATTATCTCCAAATATTTGGTTGGATACTGAATTTTCTCATTTTTAAAGTAAACCATTCCTTAAGTTTGAGAGGAACTGATTAAATGTAAAACATTAAAAATAAAAGAATATCTAATAAATCCCAGGCCATATATCTTTATTATAGTCATAAAGAAATAACCAATTCACTTTTCCCCAATCTAAGAAAGGTGACAGTCACTTTTTCCCTCTACTTTTTATCCCTCTCCCTTGGCAACACAGTCATTTACCACTGATTTTGCTCTAACATGAGCATGTGAAGAGAGGATCTCTAAAGATTTCATATTGCTAGGACTTTATTTTTAGATATGACTAGATCTGCTGATGGTTGCCATGGATATTTCCAGCAAAGTTAGCATTTTAGGAACTTATAATCATCACTCAGCATTGGGGAAGAAAAAGGTTCAGGAAAATCTCCTTTTGACATAAAAAGGCTCTGCTATTTGCCCTTAAAAGGAAACTCTGGCTCACCTGAGATCCTCTTCTGCAGCACTTACCTCCAAAGGTGTGCATGAGAGGTTGTATGACCAGTTTCTTTATTTCATTCCAGTTGCAATTCTTTTTTAGAATAATCCAAATGGAGGTACCACCAAAACAAAGATCATCCCTTGGTAGCTATTTGACCCAAAAAGAGTAGGAGTCTTTCCACTTGGTACAGAGGTGCCCCTCTGTACCAAGGCACTAGCAGTGGGGCCAGGTCAATCAAGAGAGCTAACGATAGGGCTTCTTTTTGTGCACCAGCATCCCCCTATGGAGAATATAAGATCCTGCCAAAGTGTGCCAAGTTTGCAGCTGACCAAACTCCTAGGTTGTACTGGAATTATTCTATGCAACACTAATTCTTAAATGAGTGCATTTCTTCTGAATGATGTTGATAACCCTTCTTACAACAAAACTATTTCTTTTTTAATTGCAAATAGGGCTCTTGGTATTTTTTACTTTTTTGTATATATCACAGTACATAATTTTCCACTTTTTATTTCATTTTATTTTATTAGAATCAGCTTTTTTTTAATCCGACTAGCGACAAAGTTTGTAATCTCTAAATAACATGTGATTAGTCCAATTACAGCACCTATACCTTGAGAAGCATCATAATGTCTCCCACAGTTATGCAGAGTCATCAGAGACTGAAGTTGCTTCTTGGTTTAAAACCTGGTCCTAAAGAAACTTACAGCTATAGAAGCAAAAGCACAGAGTGAACTTTTGCAAAAGACAGGGATTTATAGAATGGTCATTACAGACATAGAGAATAGTAACAAGAAGTTGGTGTTTTCCCTGTTTTTACTTAAAATTAAGGAGATTTTGGGTGACTTTGAACTCTTTATTTACCATTTCAGTTTAGAAGAACCGTATCCAAGACTAAGAGACAGTGATTGTCTTTGCTGCTTAAAGTTGCCCGTATTGTAATTAATCACACTAATAAACGTATATTTTCAGCATATCAATGGGGTTAATTTGTGGATCACACACATTAAAATAGTCATATTGTGGGAATATTATAGCTGGTAACCAGCTGATATTGATTCTTATTATTGGAACGGTTGTGATGATAGTGGTGATAGCAGTAGTGACAGTAGGCTGGTGGTGATGTGAAGTGAAATAAAAGCATATACTATATCGTGCCCAATTTATTAGAAATTATTTGATCAATGTTTCATTTCATTAAGATATCATAAAGATGTTTATAGTATTTTTTTACTTTATTATTTAAATCATAACTAACAATATTTTTGAAAGCTTATTTTCATTGCTACAATGTCTAATATTCCAAAAGCAGCCGACTACAGCTATATATGTGTTTATAACTCTATGTGTGACAGAGTAATCTCCCTCTATTTGGGCTTGAGATGGAAGTGAAAGAAAGCTCAATGAATAATTATGAGCTGCCTCTTTAATAATCACTTGCTTTTGATATTATACAAGAATGAATGGGTGAAACAGATATTCTCATTGAATATGACACATTGATGTTTTCTGTATGTTCCATGTTGTTGTTGTTACTAAAGATACCCATTAAGTCAAAATCATTTATTCAAATGATTCCTTACCTGATAGGTAGATTGAGAGTATTCTCTTAATTTGTTACCCTGTAAATAACTATACAGTTGGCAAAATAGACAGAGTTGAAATATTAATTTCGTTTGGCATTCAGCATGTGAATACGATTATCATTTGATCGCATCTGTATCTTTGTTGGTGATGTGCTCAGGTGCTCCCACTACCGATCAATGTGTGTGCTGATATCCTAACAAAAAACACATCTGATGTTAAAGAAAAAAAAATTCCTGTCTGGCAAAATAAAAACCGAACAAAATTGATTTCAAAATAAAAAAGAAAGTACTTGGAGATATGTCTTGTTTCTAACTACATGTTGCATGCGGTGTTGGTGATTTGCTAATGTGTTCTTTTTTTCTGTCCTACCCAAATCTCTCTGGAAAACCTAATGAACAAATACAAATTCTTGGGCTAAAGGTTGTATAAACTGAGCTGAAAAACATGGGAATTGTATTAAAAAAATGCTTGTAAATCTGTCTTGAGTTTTCTCTACGTAAAAATCTGTCTTGGTTTTGTGATTGTATACAAGATGTATCTTGATAACTTATACAAATTGTGCTGTATAAAGGCTGTTGTCTCAGCCTTACTAATAAATATTGAAAATACAAACTTCGATTTCTTGTGTTTATCAACTTGATAAATTGGTACTTCATACAGAAATAGAACTTTTGGGGACATTTCCTCTGAAACCTATATCATAAATACATTCCTTCACCCAATTTAAAAAATTTATTTTAAACACAGCACAGATACAGAAAACAGAATGAAACAAATGTATAGCTTAATAATTATTGTATGTTGGATGCTCTTGTAACCACCACCCAGATTAAGAAACTGAACGTTGCCCCATCTTGTAAGACCTCCATTTAATCCAGCCTTATCACAACTCCCTCTCAACCTCTAAAATGTAATCTTTTTCCTGATTTTTATGAGAAGTATTTCCTGATTTATTCCTGACATCTGCCTGGTAAACACTAGTTCTCCTGTCTCATTTTGAATGTTTTCTAAGCCTCTTTTAACATACATACTCTCTTCCCTATCCTTTCTTTTTCAGTGAATCTTATTTTTTGTAAGCCTGGTCTTTCTACCTGTAGTTTCTTGAAATCTGGATTTTTCTGAATCCATACTCACAGTGTAGTTAACATGTTCCTCTGACTGTATTGATTGCAACTCAGTCTTTTCCTCTGCAGATTTGACCGGACACATATTTCAGCTCTGTCACAAGCTGGTGTTGTATTCTTCCACTGAGAGGAACATGTTTGGCTGTCTCCCATTTTGTCCCATTTATGGCCACTGATGTTCAAGACTGGAATAAATCCAGATATAAATAGATGTTAGGAAACAGTGATATTCTAATTCAATCATCATTTCTTCTTGAAATACTTTACAAAAGATAAACATCCCCTCAGCCAGTATTTGATTACCCAAAGGTATAGTTTGTATAGGAAAGTTAGGATAAAGGCAGAGAAAATTGGACAATTTTCCTCTATCTACTTATCCATTTTTCAAACTAATAAGTGGTCCCCTATCATCCTCCAAAGGTGGCCAGTTCATTTTGATTTTGATTTTTTTTAGTATCAATGTGAACTCAAGGATTTCAACAAATATGATATGTTTTAATTCATTGAAATTATTCTTATTGATGCTCAAATTTACCCTTTTTGGCCAGCAAGGACATCTTTGAGTGAGCTTCCGGGTTTCTTTCTTTGATAACTTTCTGCGGTAAGACCTCTACAAAGGAAATAATAAAATTTTATTGATACATTAAATAAGACCTAAATACAATGTCCACTGATTGAAAAACTGAATACTGTAGTGATATTCAATTTATCCCAAATTAAAAATCCATTGAATCAATGCAATTAAATGTGTGTGTGTGGAATTTGATAAGCTGATCATAAACTGAATGTTAAAGTACTAAGGGACAAGAAAGAGTACACGAGAGAAGGAAGAACAAAATATAAGAATATTTTCTAACAAATATTAAGGTTTGTTATAAAGGTACATATATTAAAAGAGTATAATGCTGGTGCAGGATACATAAATTGAAAAATGAAAAAACAGTGACATCAGCAGACTCACAAATAAATGGACACTGCATATATAACTGGAGATAATCTGCAAAAAAGCATGAGCTTTCTATTAAATAGCGTAGGTCAACTGGGTAGGCACTCAAAAAAAATGATATTGGCGCCTCTCTCTCCCACTTTGCAAAGAAAAATTCCATGTTAACTTAAAGACCTAAATATGAAAGACAGATTTATAAACATATAGAGGATCATATAGCAAAATAAGCTCATAAACTTGGAGGAGAAGAAGATTTCTTAAGACACACTAAACAAAAAGATAACTAAATAAAAATTATAAAAATAAGGACTTCTGTTCCTCAGGTACCATGAAAAAAATTGGTGAAAAAGCCGAAAAATTAGACAAGATATTTGTTAAATAAAACAATCTAAAATGCCTAAATTATACACATCAGAGGAAAAAGGAAAGCAATGTAATGGAAATGTAGGAAAAACACTTGAACAAACACTTCAATTAAAAGAAATCCAAATGGTCAGTAAACTTAAAAAACAGATGCTCAACCTCATTAGTTTTCAGGGTAATTCCAGTTCAAACTACAGTTGAACTACATTCACAAGAATAAGAATCCAGTTGGGGGAAGACAAATGGAAGTGAAATTCTCATTTAAGTGTAACTTGATTTGTATAAATTGGTCGAACCATTTGAAGTATAGCTTGAATTTACTTTGTATTGCTGAAGATTTCCACACCATACAACTCAATAATTCCACTCTGAGATACAGACATCAGAACAACTCTTGAACATTTTCAAGTAGGCTGGGTGGTTATCTGGTGTAGTGTACCAGAGAAAGTCCTTCCTAGTTGGTAAGGCTTCCATTCAGAAGCATTTGGCAGCTGTTGTGATTGCTGTGGGACCTGGCCATACACATCATTAAGTATTTTGTTTGTTTTGTTTTGTTTTGTTTACTCACTGTGATTTATTACAGTGAAAGGATACAAAACAAAACTGGCCAAGGGAAAAGCACCTGGTGAGCAGTGTCAGGAGGCCAGAGCTGGGTCTTCAGGGTCCTCTCCCATGCCGTCACCAGTCTGTTCTCCGGGTCTGTGAATCTATTTCAGTTTTGTTTGTGCATTTGTTTTGTTTTTTAAATTCCACATGTAAGTGAAATCATGTCTTTGTCTTTTTCTGTCTGCCTTATTTCACTTAGCATAATAATCTCCAGGTCAATGCAATTAAGTATTTTGAATTTCATCCTTGCCCGTATATTTAAAGCAATGTTATTCCTTATAGCCCCAAACTCAAAACAACTAAAAAATCCATTAATGATAAGATAGGTAAATATTTTGTGGTATAATAATGCAACAGAATAATGTAAGACAATAAAAATGTACCAAACGAGCTATACACATGAGTGAATTTTACAACTATGTGGAGAAAAGTAACATGCCACAAAAAAATACAGTATGATTCTAATAACCATAAAGAAAATTAAAGGGAGTGATTATCACAAAAGGAAAAATAGGTTACCTCCTGGAAGAATAAAGCAGATGTGATTGGGGAATAGTATTTGTGGGACTTCAAAGATACTAGCAATGTCCTATTTCTTAACCTGTGTGGTGATTATATGGAGATTTGTATAATTATTATTTATCCCATGCACTCTTCTATGAATTGTATTTTTCACAATTAAAATTTTTTAAACCAGCAAGAAAAAGTAACAACTGTAATTAAAAGTTTCTCAAGAAAGAGAGTGAAAAATGTGTTTGGCAAACAAGGTTAATTATAATTTGTGTAGGCTGTTTCAGTGGAATAATGGGGACTGAAACCAGTTTTTTAAAATGAATTCAAGTATTTCATTCTTTTCAAGACATCTTGATTATATTGAGGGCTGACTGGAATCTCAGGGCAGAATCTAACACTGACTGCAAACCACAGGTGGAATTTCTTCTTTATTTTGGAACCTAAGCTTTTGAAAGGTTTCTAAGGCCTTTCAGGTGATGAGATCAGGCCTACCCACCTAGATTAAAGAAAATAATCTCTTTACTTAAACTCGGCTAATTAGAGAAGTAAATCATTTCTACAAAATACCATCACAACAAGACCTCAGGCAGTGTTGAACTGAGTTATTACCCATGAGCCAAGCTGACACCCAAAATTGACCATCACAGGTAAGAGGGAAAAACCAAGTTTTTGTTGGTTGGTTGACTAGTCGGTTGGTTTGGTTTGGTTTTTGAGAGAGAATCAAATAACTTGGAAAGTCAATGGGAAAAACATATTTGAGAAGGAATGACTAATACCCCCTCTATATACAGAGAAGAAGGAATGAAAAAATTTTAGTGCAGGCATGAGACGATAGACCGAGAATACTTATTCATCGGCTCCTCTTGAAGAGGGGAAATTTCTCTGATGGTTGGCTCCCAGCCCTGACTGCACATTAGAATCATCTGAAGAGCTCACTTCTGTGAGTTTAGGATGCTGGAGATGAGCGGGGGAGAATCACTTAAACGTTCTGGGCCTTTGGTAAGATTCTCTTCCAGGTTCTAGCATTCAATCGAATTTTAGACAAATGAATCTTTTTTCTTATGAGTTCTGTCAGAACATTTCTTGTTACTGATTTTAATATTAAGTGATCACTATTGCATAATATATTGTACATTAATAAAAATATTTTACAATAAAAGATAACCGAATTTGTAAAATATGTATAAAAGGAGAAAACTATCCTCAGATAAACTTTTATCATCTTACCATCTCAGTATCATCATCCAAGTGATGATGATATTTTTAAAAATATGGATACCAAAACTACAACCCAGACCACTTAAATCACTATCCTGGCTTTTGGGCCCTGGCACAGGTATATTTTTTAAAGCTCCCCAGATGCTGCCAATTTGCAGCTGAGGTTTAAAACTACTACCCTAATGAAACAAAAAAGGAAACAAAAGGTGGTTAGTACAGATGTAGGCAGATTGTAAATTTGATATGAATTAAGAGAGTTTGCCTCTGATGGCTGGTTTCTCAGTAAGATAAGATATGAGGTAATCAGCTTAGAATGAAGAGAAAGTAGAGTAGTTAGATGTTTGAAAACAGCAAAGGAGGTTTAAATCATCCCAGAGATGCATGAGAGAGCAAGGATGCAGGAAGAGAAGGATGGGGGCCATAATGTGGGCCCTGTTGAGCTTAGTGACAACACTCTGCTGGCCGAATGACATTCCCAGCCTGGACGTGGTGTTTTTATGTAAGAGCAGAGAACTGAAAAGGTAAATTTGTTTTTCTATTTTTTTTAATTGAAGTATCATTGATATACAATCTTATATTGACTTCAAGTATACAGCACAGTGGTTCAACATTACCCATATTATTAAATCCTCACCCCCACTAGTGTACTTATCTGTCAACATAGGAAGATGTTACAGAATCATTGGCTCTATTCCCCATGCTGTACTACAATCCCCGTGACCAACTTATATTATGATTGAGAATTTTTGTGCCCCTTTATCTCACTCACCCTCCCCACTGCAACTCCCCCTCATGGTGACCACCAGTCATTTTGAGTGTCTATGAGTCTACTT